TCAGGTGAGTATGAAGTGATATCTCATTATGGTTTTGCTTTGTATTTCCCTTTACTGGTCATTTGTATATCTTCCCTGCAGAAGTATCTATTCAGAACTGTTGCCCATTCTAAAATTAGGCAATTAACTTTTTACACTGAATTGTAAGAATATGTTTTGCTTTATATGCTCTGGAGACAAGTCCTTTATCAGATACATGATTTGTTTTTTCACTTTTTTATTTTTTTTTTATTTTTATTTTTTTCTTTTTGAGACAGAGTCTTACTCTGTTGCCTGGGCTAGAGTGCCATGGTGTCAGCCTAGCTCACAGCAACCTCAAATTCCTGGGCTCAAGGGATCCTTCTGCCTCAGCCTCCCGAGTAGCTAGGGCACACACCACCATGCCCGGCTATATATATAATATATATATTTTGTAGAGATGAGGTCCCACTATGTTGCCCAGGCTGGTCTCGAACTCCTGGCCTCCAAGGTGTTGAGATTACAGTGTGAGCCATCATGCCCAGCATCATCTGTCTTTTGATTATAGCTATCAGGTGAGTATGAAGTGATATCTCATTATGGTTTTGCTTTGTATTTCCTGAATGACTAATGATGCTGAACACCTCGTCATGTGCTTACTGGTCATTTGTATATCTTCCCTGCAGAAGTATCTATTCAGAACTGTTGCCCATTTTAAAATTAGGCAATTAACTTTTTACATTGAATTGTAAGAATATGTTTTGCTTTATATACTCTGGAGGCAAGTCCTTTATCAGATACATGATTTGTCTTTTCACTTTTTTATTTTCTTTTTGAGACAGAGTCTTACTCTGTTGCCTGGGCTAGAGTGCCGTGGTGTCAGTCTAAGTCACAGCAACCTCAAATTCCTGGGCTCAAGCGATCCTTCTGCCTTAGCCTCCTGAGTAGCTGGGACTGCAGGCATGTGCCACCATGCCTGGCTAATTTTTTCTATATAATTTTAGTTGTCCAGCTAATTTCTTTCTGTTTTTTTTAGTAGAGATGGGTCTTCCTCTTGCTCAGGCTGGTCTCGAACTCCTGAGCTCAAACAATCCACCCGCCTCAGCCTCCCAGAGTGCTAGGATTACAGGCATGAGCCACCATACCCAATCCCTTTTCACTTTCTTGATGGTATCCCTTGAATCAAAAAAGGTTTTAATTTTTACAATGTCTAATTTATCTATTTTTCTTTTGTTGTTTGTGCTTTAGTGTCATAGTTCAAGAAACCAATGTCTAACCCAAGGGCATAAAGATTTACTCCTATGTTTTCTTCTAAAAAAAACCTGACAGTTGTGGCTCTCACATTTAGGTTAACAATCCATTTTTAGATAACTTTTGTATATGGTATAAGAGAGGGGTCCAAATTCATTTTTATGCATGTGGATACCCATTAGTCCCAGCATCCTTTGGTGAAAAGGCTGGCCACCCCTCCCTCCCCCTGTGAATTGCCTTGATTCTCCTGACAAAAATTAATTAACCATAAGTGTTAGAGTTTATTTTTAGACTCTCACTTCTATTCCATTGATCTATTCACATATCTTTACGCCTTGCCACACTGTCTTGATTGCATTTGTGCTCATTCCACCAAGACTGAAGTGGTAAGAACTGATCAAGAACTACAGCTGCACTAGAACATAAAACATGTGAAATTAAAAACAAAAAACTCTCCTAACTATATTTCCCAAGCCCCAGCTTAGCTGTCAGAGACCACAAAATGTGTCCTACTGAGTCAGTTAAGCAACAATGCCTTGATCTGCCCCAATGCATCTGACTTCCTATTGTCCTCTGTTGCCCAAACCCAGTCCCCTGCCAAATCCTGTGGCTTCTTCCTTTACATCCTTAATAACTGTCCCTTCCACTCCAGCTCCAGAGTGCCTTGTGGCATTTGTTAGTATTATTTTGAAACTGGGAAATGAGTTTTGAAGAACTTTGCTCTTCTTTGACTACTCTGCATTCTTTGTGTTTTCCATATAAGTTTTAGGATCAGCTTGTCAATTTCTGCATTTTAAAAAAAAGGCAGATGGAATTTTGCTAGGGACTGTATTGAATCTAGTATATATCAACTGGGAGGGATTATTTTCTTAAAACTGTCTTCCAAACCAAGAACAAGTGATGTCTTTCCATCTATTTAGGAGTTTTAAAATTTTCAATATTTTTTAGTTTTCAGTGTCCAAGGAGGTCTTATACATTTATTGATTTTATTCTCTTTGATGCTATTATAAATTGAACTGCCTTAATTTCATTCTCAGATTGCTCATTGCTAATGTAGAAAACTACAATTTTTACACATTCTTCTGGTAGCCTACAACCATAATGAACTAATTAATATCAATGGTTCTGTTTTTTAGTGGATTCCTATGGATTTTCTATAAATCATGTGATACCACTTAGAAATAGTTTCACTTCTTTTTTTCTAATCTAGATACCCTTTATTTCCTTTTCTTGCCTAACTGTCCTGTCTAGAACCTCCAGTACAATGCTGAATAGAAGTGGTGATAAAAAAACATTCTTATCTTCTTCCCGATCTTAGGAAGAAAGCATCAGTCTTTCACAACTAAGTATGATGTTAGTTTTGGGTTTTTCTTACATGCCCTTTATCAGGTTGAAATTTCCTGCTATTCCTAGTTCATTGAACATTTTTGTGTCAAGAAAGGGAGTTGGAATTTATCAAACGCTTCTCCTGCATCTACTGAGATAAGCCTATAGGCTTTTGTCCTTTATTCCATATTATAGTCTATTATAGTGATTGATTTTCATGCAATAAATCATCTCAAATAAACCTTCTAAACAGAGACTCAGCCCTGCTTACGTTTCTTAAGTCCAGGACCATGAGTTTTCTGTGCACTCTGCTTTCTTAAATCATGGCACACCTGTGTATCTAATAACTCCTGTGTACTCCATGACCAAAAAGCACCTTCCTTAAAGGTGTTTATATCATAAGAGGCTTGTAAATACATATTATAATCTCTTATAAATTTATGAAAAGCCATCTTGGAGGAAAAACTGTACATTTTTATAGTCTTTCAATGAAACTACCCCAAAGGAAGCTTTCTTCAAAGGACTTGGGGTAATCGTTATGCTAACTTTCTAAAACAAAATTCAACTACAGAATTTCAAAAATACTAAAGGTGACAAGCTTTCAAGCTACATTCATACCACTTTGAGATAATGGGGGAGAAAAATGTGCTTATGTTATCACCATACATCTGACTGGCACTATAGTTCACAGAATACTTTCACCTTCTCTAGTTATTTCGGGTTTTGTTGTTGTTGTTGTTATTGCTATTGTTTTTAGGCTAGTCAAGTGAAGCAGTGGGAGTAGAGAAGGAACAAAGGAATTTGTAACTGGTTGTGATCAACAATTAGTTGTAAACACCACTGCACTCAGACCAGCCAGTTGATTCTTATTAAAAAAAAAAAAAATCCATGAAGTAAGGCAGGTGATATCATCTTTATCATCCCATTTACAGAGAGACAAAAATTGAACTTCCTACAGGTTAAAAGGTCGGTGCAAGGTCACACAGCTCATAAGTGGTGGAGCTGGGACCAGGAAATTAGGTCTACCAACTCCCAGCCACCTACCTTTTTCCTCTACATGACACCCTTTCCCATTTATTTAAAAAAAAAAAAAACGGGGGAGGGAGGCAAAAACTTAGAATGCAACATGTGAGTCAGTAGGAAAAGGAAATTTCCGCTATCCTTTAATTTTCATTGAAAGCACATTTCTTTTGAATGTCTATGAATCACTCTCATCTTTTTTAGCAGCAACTTGACTAAAAGCATGTTTTTAATACTCTTAGACTGACAGTAAATCTTTAGTGTCCTCCAACCTAGCTATAGGCTTCACAGACATGTAAAACCACCTTTAGAACTTGTCTTTATAGCTTAAGGAAAGTTACATGATGCTTAAAATATTAATCTGGAGAAACCCCCTTTAAGGCAATTCTGATGCCAAATTAGGGTCTGCGTCACTGAATGTTCCACAAAATACTGATTAAAAATGTCATTCTAGCTCTGTGGATAGCTGTTTATCAGTGATCAGAGATAATTAACAGCAACGACCACTTCACTGCTTATTTTCTATATAGATGAGAGGGATGGAACATCATCTGTCCGTGAACAACACTGTTGATCAGTCACAGCACAGAGCATTAAATGAAAATAATTCATGATAAATGAACACTAGTATGCACCTAACAAAGGACAAAGTTTCTATTGATTCATCTCATAAACAAAGTACCTGTACTTAGGACTCTTTATCTCCACTTTCTCCTTGGAGAACCCAATATTCCCTTAATCTAAAAAGCCTAAAAGAGTCCATGTGATTTTAGAGACAGCATATCCTAAGTGGTCCCACACCCATGGGTTAAAGAGGAGAATTGCTGCCATAAACCTACCCTCCTGCTTAGTGACCAACGGACTTTAGTCTGACATGCTATCGTCCTGCTGGGCATTCACCATGGGTGAGGGCTGAGTAAAAGATCTGAGCAAGCTCTAGGGAGAAAGGAAGTTGATTTAGGTCACTGCTGCTCCTCCACATCCAAGCCAATGAGATGAAGAATTCGAAATTATCTGCAATTAGCCCAGTGGTTTCCTGGGAGGCTGAGGAAGGGGAATGGCTGTGGTAACAAGTTTTTCTCAATTCTGCCTGACCATTTGCAAAAAACAGGTTCTTCTCCCATTAGCCTGCTACCGACAAGACTCAAGTGCATTGCTAGAAGTATGAGGATGTGCAGGGGTGAGCATGGTGTGTGTCTGGCTGTGGCTGAAGAGTGGAGCACAGTGGGGTGTGGGGTCACCCCAGCCCATTGGCCTCCTGGCATGGAAGGTTTGGCCAACCCTTAATCACTGACTGCAGGCAAGAGTCTCTGGCCATCCCCAACTCTGGCAACTCTTTAGAATTGCTGGCCCATTCAGGTGCCTTCTGGACATCAAATTCACATCCTCATCCCAAAGCTGATTTCCAAGAGAAGGTGCACAAATTGTCTAACTCTGGATCGTACCTTTTGGCTTCCTCCAAGTGGCACAAATATTCGTAAGCGATATTCTGCCGCCTCCTCTCATCCATCTCCTCTGCAGAGAGCCTTTCATCATCCACGATAGCTAGAAATAGAGGATAACAACACATGACTTATAAAAGCAGTCTTCATTAAATAAACACCAGAGAAATTCAACTAGGAAAAAACTCATACGCAGCTCAACATTGAACACTCAAAGACAGATGTATTGAAACATCAAGCATAGAGAGAGATTTGTCTTTAGATTTTACAATATTCTATTATTTCTAACAAAAAAGCAATACTGAAGTATTGGATTGAAATTATTAATAGAATGAAAATAGCAATCAAATTTCATGGAGATGATGCCATGGGATCTGGACAGCCTCAAATCAATTAGAGCATTGTCTAACAGCAACAGCTTTAGTCAGCAAGACTGCAGATTTGGTCCAGTGGCTGAGCTTGGGGGCAATGTCACCAGTAGCACCCCACAAATCTTAGCATTGAACAAAGAATTTATAAGTACTTATAATCATTTCCCAATCCCTGAGGGAACTGAGGCCTTTTATCCAACCCAAAAGACCAATCAATCCTCTTTTAGGAATGCCAAAGTCTGTAAAATGTCTCGCTCACCTATTTCTTGGCCTTTGTAAGGTTAACCTTTCTGGTCAATGGGTATCCCAAAGGTAAAAGCAATGAAGACACCAAGTTGAGTAGAGTTTGAGCCCACACTCTTTATTCCCAATCAAGCCTAGTTTATCAATTTCAACACTTCAGCCTTGCTTTTCTGTAGAGAACGCCACCTCACCATTTCCTGACTGCACTTCCTCTGCCCACAGCCTCCAGGCAACCGCGGTAACTGCCACACCAGCCTACTCTTCATTGTTTACATGACAACGCTCTTCTCTCATAAAAAGGACTCCTTTTCCCTCCTTAAGCCTGAGCTTTAATTTTGGTAGCCATAAAACTAATTACTCATGTAACAAGGACAATGTGTGTATGTGTACACATGCATGTAACAGGGACGTGGCCACACAAGGCAGGAATGCCAGTGTTTGCTTTTTTTGTTTCCAAGCTGCCAGCTCCAGTCAGCCATCTCATAAATGGGATCCCGTGGTCACAGGCAGAAGAAATAAGGATGTGAAGGTCACCCATCCATCTCCAAAGAAAGCCATGCTAACCCCATGCCCTGCTGAGAAGTCAAAATCACCACCCTGGAAGACAAAAGGAATTAAAGCCAAATTTTGAACTCTTACTGAAGCAAGTACAATGCTAAATACTTAAGATCTAAAAACAATACTAAGCCTTCAAAGAACTCAAAAGAGAAGGGAGATTAAACTTACATCAATATAAAAGATGGCAAACTACCTTAAGCATAGAAGCATATACTAGATGCTTGTTTACTGAGCCCTTTCTTTATTTCAAGGTCTTTGGCAAAGGGACTTCTCTGCATCCTCAGATTTAAGCCTCCTGACTCCATGAGGTGGGTAATTTACCCCACTTTACAGTTGAACAAGCAGACTGAGAGGTCATTTGCCCAAGTGAAGAGCAGAAACATTAGGCTTGGAATTATTTGGACAAAATGGAGAAAACAAGAAAAGTGTGGGAGAACTTTGGGAAATGCCTCTGTTTATGGATGAGGAAGAGAGGGAACCAGCAGAAGGGGAGGAAGGAGGGAGGTGAGACACGGAAGGGCACCCGGGCAGGCTGGTCTATTACAAAAGTGGTGCCCAAAGGGACAGGAGTTGCACATGTCCCCATGTCCCCCTTTCTACCCCTCTCGATTTTCCATTGTGGCTCCATTCCTTAAACAGGGAGACCTCATCCCAGACCAATGATACCAAGAAAGCTCAACAGAGCTTGATATTTGTCAAAAGCATCTTTTTTTTTTTAATAAACTCAATCCAATCTAACTTTAAAAGAGCTCTCATGTTTCAGAAAAGCACAGACACACGCTCTCAATCCTGCTCTACACCTCCACTGCGACAGCCCAGGCCTTCTACGCCTTTCCCCCAAGCTCTTGTAACAGGTCCCATGGCTCGCCCAGCACCCTCCTCCACCCGCCCTCCCCCCGGGCACCAGAAGCACCTTTCTAACACGGGGTCCTGCTGATGTCATTCTCCCCCTCAAAACCTCTGACGCCTCCTCGTTTCTTACAGAACACAGTCCTAGAACACTGTCCCTCTCCTCCCCTGCACGAAGCCTGCACTTGAGCCACCACTTCCAGGACCACGCCACTCCCTCTGATGTTCAGCGCTTCTGCTCCTCCCATCTGGAAAACCGTTCGCCCACCTTCTGTGTTTTTTGACACCTTTGACATTTCCTCAAGCAAAATTCCATGGGTCCCTGAATCTGAATCTATCCACTCTCCTCAGCACTTGAGGTCACATTATTGCATCACTCATCAGAAAAGCCACCCGCTGTCCAACAGTCTGTCTCCCTCTCCAAACCGGGGAGTCCTCAGAGGAAGAGACTGTCTGATTCCTCTCCCCACGCTCCTCGCGTTTGTCAGGGCTCCTTGCACGTACACAGCATTCAACACGTGCTGAAGAAGTACCTTCAAGTGAGTCCTTACTGAGTGAGCTAACTGCCACCCTAGAATGAATATACTTTGAAATCCTGGTTTTCTTATCCTGGGTTATCTTAGGAGACCTGGCACAGCCCCATCCCATCACCTAATCCTCCATCTCTGAGCAGTTCCTCCCCAGCATAGCCCATCATGTCCAATTTCTTATTTTAATTTCAAAGACTGTTTCCCATTTCTGACAGGATGTTTTCATTTTATAGTACCGTCAGACACACTAAAGCTTGAAGTCAAAATAAAACTCCTGGTGGGATCCCACGGGTTTGTTCTACCACACCCCACTTGTAAGTGTGGACACTGGGCTCACGCTCAGAAGGCGGCACCCCTCCCTGCCTCCCTTCCTGGCTGCCAAACTCTTCCAGCCTCAGAAAGCCCACTGAGGAGGAGACCCACCTGGCCCCCAGTCCCAACTGCATCCACAAACCACACAGGAGTCCACCAGGCCAGGAGAGCCACTGAGAGGCTCCCAAACTCTGCCATTACCCAATCCAAGTAAAAGGTTTTACTTAATGCATGAATTAAAACACTGCATCCATGTAATCCTAGCTCTCTGGAAGGCCGAGGCGGGCGGATCATTTGAGTTCAGTTCGAAACCAACCTGAGCAAAAGTGAGACCCCATCTCTACTATAAATAGAAAGAAATTAATTGGCCAACTAATATATATATAATCTATATATATTATATATATAATATATATAGAAAAAATTAGCCGGGCATGGTGGCGCATGTCTGTAGTCCCAGCTACTCGGGAGGCTGAGGCAGGAGGATCGCTTGAGCCCAGGAGTTTGAGGTTGCTATGAGCTAGGCTGACGCCACAACACTCACTCTAGCCTGGGCAACAAAGTGAGACTCTATCTCAAAAAACAAACAAACAAACAAAAATACTGCATCTACAAGGTTTTAAGCTGCAATTGCAACATACTGACCTTGGCTAATGGGATCCTATCTATCTTTAAGACTCAACCCAAGGGCCCCCTCCTTCCCGAAGCCCGGCTCAAAATGCCCTCTCTCCTGGCACCTTCTACACTTCTTTGCTTAACAGTAAACTCCTAGAGGAGTTATTTGGATCCTCGTGGTGTCCACACTTCCCTGCACAGGTGGCACGCTTCATTAAAATATCTGAACAAATAAAATCTCTTATCAGGAAATGCTAATAAAAGGGCTTCAAAATATCTATGTGGGGTAATTTTATTGCCTATTTACACTGAATAAAATAACAGTGAGGTTGTTAATGGAGCAAATACAGTACGATTCCATAGACTTCTCTCAATTGCATTCAATTCATAGGTTCTATGTGCCAGGCATGAGTCAAAGCACCAGAGGTAGAATAGTGAACAAAATGAACATAAAATATTTGCCCTGAGGGGGCTTCCTCATACACATCCCTCCCTTCTGACCTTCCACACACCTGGCCCACACACTTCAGGCTCACCTTCCTTCAATCAGTGGTAGAGAATACCTTCGATGACCTATTGTCAGAGTATAATTCAAGGTCAGGAGTGTGAGAAAGTCTTAACAGCAAAAGCAGATCCTTCTGGGCCACAGAGGCTGCCTGCAAATATTTCTGCATGACTCAATATTTACTAAGTAGTGACTTCCGATAAGAACCACTGACATGGATAATAACCCTGCCGTTTAAAGATCCATCATGGAGCTAATAAAATAATCCATTTAAGATATGACTTTACCACCTATAAAGCACTTTTCCATAGTTATTGTGTGGTTCTCAATCACCTTGATAGGCATTATCTCTTTCTTACAAATGAGGAAACCAAAGTCAAGCAATGGAAAGGGACTGCCCATGGTTATTTGCTGGGTTAAGGGCAGAGCCAGGACTGGAACTAAGGTCTTTCAGTGTCACAGTCCCTTTTTTTCCCCCTAGAGTTGAACATTTATTTTTTATTAGTTTTTAAATTTGTTTTTTAAATTCAGATTGTTATGGGAATACACAATTTTGTTACATATACTGCCTTCGCACTGCCCGAGTCAGAGATACAAGTGTGTCCATCTTCAGCACACACCCAAAGGAAAAAAAGACATTCTATAATAAAGACATCTGCACCTGAATGCTTGTAGCAGCACAATTCACAACAACAACTCAAGAAACAATCCAAGTGCCCATCAAGACATGAGCGGATTAATAAAATGTTGTGTGTATATGTGTGTGTGTGTATATATATATATATATACATACATACATATACACATATCCATATCATGGAGCTCTACTCAGCCATAAAAAACAATGGTGAACTAATATCTCTTGTATTATCCTTCATAGAACTGGTACCCATTCTTCGAAGTGAAGTGTCACAAGAATGGAAAAACAAGCACCACATGTACTCACCACTAAATTGGTATTAATTGATCAACACTTGTGTGTACATATGGAAGGAACATTCATCAGATGATGGCAGGTGGAAAGGGGGTGGAGGGAATGGGGCAAATTCCCAGTCCTTATTCTTTGCCCGGTGCCTCCTGCTGCTAAATCTATTAATAAGTGAGCCTAGAGAAGGTATTT